TCACTTTCACAGACTTTTTGTTTCCTGCTTTTTGAATAAGTGCTCCTAAATATTCAGACCTAAACCTGTTTCTCAAATCCTTTTGCAAGTTTTCTCTATATTTGACTCGCTTATTAAGACTTTTATGCCCAATATCATCAAGATCTGGCACACCACTAATTTGATTATCTTGCAGAAATAGAGATGGACTTAAAAGTATTAAAGTAGCATCACTTTCAGTTACATATGTCAATGGACGGGAATTAATTACTGCTTCACAGTCACAAAGAGTCGTGTTCATTCAGAAGTTAGCGAAGCTCTTTCTAATACTCGTCTCAGCAATTTCTTAAGAATTCCTATCAATCTCTCCCACCAGCCTCTCCACCAGGAGGCAGTTGGTGGGTTGAACTTCCACTGAATTGGTGGTATAGATGGTATAGATGTCAGTGATTTGCTTCCAGTTTAAGTCTTGAAGTACATTTGAAGCACCAACAAAATTGGTTCCGTTGTCACAGTATATGATTCTGCTGCGTCCTCTACGAGCTATAAATCTTATAAGAGCTAGTAGAAAACTCTCAGTAGACATCGATTCAACCAACTCTAAATGGACTGCATTATAAATGGCGCAGGTGAATAAACAAACCCAAGATTTCTTGGCCTTTCAAGATTACTGGTCCCGCAAGATCAACTCCACAGATTTCAAATACAGCTGCTTCTCGTAATCTATCTTCTGGAGGAGCCCCAGTACAAGTTTCTAGGTTATTTGCTAAAAATATTATACACACTGTGCATTGATTGATGATAGATCTCACAGTTTTACGAGCATTCAGAATCCAAAATCTCTCTCGTAGAATATTTATTAAAATTTGAGTACCAGCATGTGCATTTTTCTCATGATAGTATCGCACTAGTCTCTTGACAACCTCATGATTGGATGGAAGAATAGCTGGCGTTTTAACCTTTTAATTGCCATGCCCGAGAAAATCTCGGGTACAGCACTGGTGTTCGAAAATGTCATGCCCGAATATTACTCGGGGTAATTTTTTTTTTGAGTGCATCGTATTGTTATAACCGAATATATATCGGGATATGTATATTTCGGCTTCATCTCTTTGTCAAACCTATCTCGGGAAAAGTTAATGTGCGCTCAATTTAATAGATGACAGCACTTTACTGAAGATTTCAGAGGTTGGAGGTTATAAGTTCTTTGGTTCAAAGTGCACGGGATCTTTTTGTTGTAAAATGGCGTCCAGTTCTTTGAAACGTTATATAGATGATTTAGATACTTCAACCGAAGATGAAGGATGTGTGTTTGATGAGCAGTATTCATGATACTTCCATGGTCAGCCTCAAAAATAAAGAAAATGGAGATATACTCAAGCCGAAGATTGTTTCTGATTACAGTCTAACTATGGGTGGTGTAGATCGCTGTGATCAGGAAAATATCCTTTCATCCAACAATCCGAAAACGTCAGAAAAATATTATAAAAAGATATTTTTTACATTTACTAGACAAGGTACTTTGGAACTCGTATTTGCTCTATAAAAATGTAGTTGGGATACATTTTTAGAATTTCGAATCCAAGTTGTAGAAGAGCTTTTACATAAATATGATGATGCAGCTTCTGGACAAAAGAATGTTGGCAGACCACCTAAAATAGATAACCCTGTCCGTCTTACTGAACTACATTTTATTTCCCATATTCCTCCTACTCCTGTGAAACGTGAGCCTACAAGACAGTGCAAAGGAAACACGATTATGGTGTAGTGATTGTGGAGTTGGTTTGTGCTTGGAAAAGTGTTTCCAGTTGTACCAAACAAGACTGAATTACTGAACTACTAATTAGTATTCACTTTTATTTAATCACTTTCATTTATTTATTTTTTAGAAAATAATTTTTTTTTTTTCATTTTTAGAAAATAATGCTCCACTAGAAGCGAACTTTACAACTGCCATGTTGAGTGGCAGCCGCCTCAAGCAAATATGCAGTGGCTACAAAACTTTAAAAATTTTACCCATGTACTACAAAATATCAATTTTTAACTACTTAAGTATATTTTATTTTGTACTAAACATTTGATTTTTTCAATAAAAAATTTGACAATTTGTGTACCCAAATTATCAAAATAACTTGACAGTTAAGGGGTTAAAGTCTTCTGTATCCTCCCGAAAGGTAAGTTTAGTTTTTAGTCTGAGGATTCCACTTTGATCCTTGAATACTCCTAAAGTTCTTAATTTCTCATCCTTTTCATTCACAAAACAATCTTCTTGAACCATTTTGATCAATAACTTCTCAGCCTCAAAAATTTCATCAGAATCAAGGTTTCCATGCTTTCTCACTGTTTCTTCAGTTCGACAATTGGAGGTGAATCTTAGGATCCAGGCAATTAGATTAACTATCCTTTTGTATTGGGAAAAATATTTGTAATACCAGTCTCTCTTGGTAACCAAGCATGCAGAAACTAAACATTTTGTTACAGAAGAAACTATGCTCTTTTTCTTTTCTCTAACAATCTCAGTCTCATCTAAATTTAAGTCACCTTTAGGCCAATCTTCTTCAGGCAAGTAAAGCTAACTTGGACCTAACTACCACTGAGATTTCAATAAGGAGAGAGCTGAACAACATCTACTCGAAAGATCAGCTGGATTCATGCAACCAGGAATATGTCTCCAAGAATCTTTATTTGTTAGTCTTCTTATTTCCTTCACCCTATTCTGGACAAATACACTCCAGGCTTCTTCTCTCGTTATCCAGGCTAAAACAGTAGAAGAATCAGTCCAGAAGTAAATTTCTTCACTCTGTATCTCAGACAAAATTGAGGACGAACGGCGAGACGCTATAGTAGGTGCAAGTAATTCCAATCCCGCGATAGTAGTTTCTTCTTTTCCAGTTGGTGTAACTCTACTCCTGGCTTGTATCAGTTGTACTTTAGTAGAATCAAAAGTTTTATACGAATGAAAGCAGCCACGGCATAAGCATGCTTACTGGCATCACAGAAAATATGTACTGAAGTATTTTCACTCGTACTCCTTGAACCAAAATATCTTGGAAAATAGATCTTTTCCAGATAGTCAATATCTTTCAACCATTTTAAAAATGTAGTTCTCGTACAGGTATCAACTTCTTAATCCCATGTTATCTTCTGCTTCCAAGTTTCTTGAAGTAATAACTTAGGGATAAGGATAACAGGACAACACATACCAAGAGGATCAAACAATCTATGAGCTGTAGATAAAATTAAGCGCTTAGTCACTTTTTCAAAACATAACTCTTTTATACTACCAGTATTTATTCTTAGAGTGTCAGATTTTTTATTCCATATTAAACCGAGCACATTTGTATCAGCAGAAGCATCAGCATCAATATCATTGAACTCCCACCCTCTAAGCTCAAATTTTCTCTCAGCCATTACCTCAGTTGATACACTAATAAAATGATTGAGTTCTTCCTTTTTAACACAACTGACTGACCATCACTATCAAGCCATAAGAACCGCAAAAAGTCTCTATCAGTAGGTGAAACACTTATTTGAAGAAAGGCTCTTCGTATATCAGCAATAACACCAATCTCTTCTTTTCGAAAGCGTGTTAAAATACTCGGAAGCTGTTCTATTAGATTTGGGCCTTTTTCTAAGCAGTCATTAAGACTAGGAAATTCCTTACTTTGGCCGAAGAATCAAATACCGGTCGGAGTTTTGTAGTGCTATTCTCTTTGATAACTTCTCGATGAGGAAGGTAAAGAACTTGCCCTTGATAATTTTTATCAGCCTCTTCAATTACTCCCTCTTCTAGCCATTCCTTGAAAACATCTCCATAAGCTTCATAATTGGACTCGATTTTAAGACGTTTAACAGTCTTCTCCCGGCTAAGTCAAAATAGTCTGTTAGTGGTGGATGATATTCCAACCAGGGCAAATCAACCTGGAAACGATCATCGACTATACGAACTGTATTTAGAAAATGTAACCGAGCAGCTTCTTGCAGTTCAGTCTGGTCTTTCTTGACTGATGGGTCAGTGATCCCAAGTGTGTCCAAAGTCCATAGATCTGTTATGGTCTCCACAGTAGATAACAAGGATGTAACTAAGAACGATTATGAAAACTCACTTTTCGAAGTATTCGGCATTCGTTCCATAACTGACCATCCAAATTTGGTCTCAATAGCTACGAGATCACAAGGCAACTCACGACGACTACATGTCATGAGTTTTCCAGCTACATCAGCTCCAATAAGAATCTCAATAGGATTTTGACAATCATCCACAATTTTTATATTACAGGCTGCTAACTCTTTCAGACAAAGCTTGTTGCAGTAGGTGGCACTGACTTACAAATAATTTGTTGACTAAGAACTTTAAAGTTGCAATTATAATTCTCATGCACACATGATAAATAAAAAGTGTATACATCATGCTTGCATATCCGTGAGTCCTTACCTCCAAATAACGAGTGTTTTAAATATTCACAACTCTGAGGTTCATAGTTCATTTCTTTAGCTGTACTTCTTAATAAATATGATCGCTGTGAAGCAGTATCGATAATAGCTGTTGCGACGCGTTTTTTCCCATTACTTCTAATTATAACTTTGAATGTTTGAAGCATTACATCCGGAGTAGAAGATAAATTGGAAAGAGCTTGATCCACTTCAGCACTAATCTAAGTTTTCTTTTCAACTTCAGGTGATTCTTCGTTTTTTGACAGAGTTATTTGGTACATCTTTCTACACAGAAGAATATGGTGTTTTTTACCACAACACAATCAACCAGCTTTCAAGTTACAATCCTTGACTGAATGTCCAGATTTCAAACATAAAAAACACTTGTGAGATTGTTGAACCAGTGACTCCCTCTGCCTTAAAGGTATTTTTCTTACTTTTAGACAGTCTCCAAAAAATGTGAATTAGAACAGAATATACACTGTTTTGATACTTGAGATGAAGTTAGAAGGTCTGTTGCACTAGGTATATTTGAAAACTTTCTACTCTTACATTTGTTCTCTATTACCTTTTTCTCATAGGAAAGATTATGTTTTACTTCTGCTTTTGGTTTCGATGTGTTGAAACTTTGAGAGGCTAAAAAAAATGCGTTCTTCAGCTTCGAATTCGGCTTGTAAAATTTCTAAAATGCATTCTAAATCACTTTTCTCAATTATAGTTTTACTTTCGTCTGAATCATCTAAATTCACTTCTCGAATTCTACGATGAGCAGATCTATAGCGCTGCCAAGCAACAAGAGTTTCTTCGGGTAATGATGATTCAACTAGTGGAAAAAGCATTGCAGCATATTTTTCCCTAGTAACACCTAATAATTCAAGTGATCGCAGTTTACTCTCAAGTTGATCGAACAATTTTCTTAATGAATTTTTAGAAGTGTTCTGTTTTTGAAGAACTAATACTAATAAGTCTCTGAAATATACCTGAATCAATAGTTCCTCTCTGCCGAAACGCATTTTCAGCTGTTTCAAAGCTTTTTCGTAACTATTACCCCCTGGGGGATAGATCTTAATTAATTCTTCAGCAGGACTGCCTTTTTCTATTACTTGAGATAAATACGAAGATTTATCGTGAAAATCGATATTAATGTCCTCATCAATTTTTTGAAACTGACCCCAAAAGTATAGCCAATTTCGTACACTACCGTCAAAAGTAGGTAATTTTATTTTTGGGTAACGTAATAAAGTGTTCGGCAGCTAAACAATGTTCAAATTTTAATTTTTAGAAGACAGTTGTTCACTCACTAGTGTTTCTAGCTTCTATTTTAAAGATCTCCATCGATCAATATACATTTCTGACTCATCTACCGCTTTCTCTATTTCGGTATCGGAAGTATTTTCAGAATACAACAAATGTTTATATTTCTCTTCACATGCTATCATTAATAAAGCTTTCTACTCAATTAGCTTTAATTTATTAATTTTATCAGCACGATTTAATTTGATTTCTTTCTCATCAAAAGCATTACATGCTCGAGTAAACAACCTTCTAAGTTGCTTTCTATCTTTCAAAACAATATCCATAATGCACAAAGAATAAAAGAAAATATAAAAATATTTTTTCACTCACTCTTAATAATGCAGCCGTTGTCCTGTCGCGGACACCAGATATCCCGTTTTACCTTCGATATCAGAAGAATTATGATGGAAAATGAGTATACGATCAATTATCCAATGAAAGACATCTCGTCACAACACAAACAGTTTAATATTACGATTCTATTTACAAGTCTAATTAAGTGTTAGTTTTAGCTTTGACACCTCAAAGCAATACTCAGAACATAAATGGCATTACTCATCAGTTTTTAAATGCTCATGAAAAACATCTCAAAAAGTCAATTTTCTCATTACTTAAATCGAAAAGTTAAACTATAGAACAAACTCGAAAGCGTAGATGTAAAAAACTCAACTGTTGCCAATCGCGATTTACTAAATTACATCAAAATAAAGATAATAATCAGGTAGAGGTTCAACTTCACACAGAGTGTGTTTCTGGCCTGTGCGTATACGCTATGTTTAGTTTTTGCCAGTTCTGATAAGCTGTAATTATTCGGCTTTATCTCTGAAGACATTTGAATTTGTTACTTGATTAGTAACTCAGTTTAGAATATATTTAAATTGAGTAAACTTGGCTACGTTTCTAAGTTTTAATTTGAAATTGAGTATTCTGTTTAGTTACATTGCCACGAGCTGTGGTGGATATAGTTAGTGCAAGAACGTGCCTTAATGCTCTAAGTTCGGTTTAAATAAAAAAAAAAAAAAATAAGAATTTGTTAATTTGACCGCATTAATCTGGCCTTCTTTTAATCTGCACGAACTTTGAAAATATTAATTAATATACAATTAAATGCCAATAAAAATTAATTTTATAAAAAAATCTGAAATGTTTCAGATTTTAAATTACGTCCAAAGGGACGTTTTTTTTTAACGTTTTGAGTGTTACCTTTATTTATTAAATATCATGTTCTTTGCACTTAAACCATAAAATTCAGTTCAAGAGCAATATCGCAAAATAATGTTAAATTAAGCATATCTTTAGAATTTCCGATATACACAGTCTCGCGAGCTGGAGATAAAAGGATTTTTTTTCTATATAACGTGTTGCCATTTCTCGCTTTTAAAGCATTGAGTTTGTAAATCAAAAATTCGTTAAAGTTTTACAAAATATAAAATCTATAATAAAAACAAATTCCAAATTTGGGATTTCAGATGCCCATATTCGCAGTAGGATTTCGTCATTCAAAATTCGATGGCTCTATGTACCATTGTTTTATCACAATGCCAGAAATAGACAATCATTTATGCAGATTTTTCATTATTTAATTTCTTCAAATATAATGCAGGACTCTAACATTTTGTGGCAACAGTTTGAAAAGTGAACCGACGTTTATGAGTCCGACGCAAAATCGCAAAACGAAAACAATAGTCCTTCAGGGACAAAGCCCCTTTGGACTAAAAATATTTAAACCTTTCCTGACTTTGTAGTTATTTTAAGGCATAGTATAATCCGTTTCGCTCTTGCTAGGGGTTTTGGATTAAGTTTTACCAGATTAAAGAAAATCTCATAAATCTTTGAACAACAAAATGCATTCATATGGCTGAATCCTTCTATTCTCTCTCTACATATTAGCTTACCTGAAAACGGTTATAATAAGCCATCATGAGAAATAAGAAAAACATAATACCTGGCCCAAAAGTATTCAGTCATTATTACGGCAGCTTTTGAATATCATTTAAAACGATAATCCGGATGTATATCGCCATGCTAGATATGGCTAGACATGCCAAAGGAGGAAATATCTATAACTTTTTTCCTTTCTTGTTTAATTCTGTGAATTTATCAACTCATTTTAAAGAAGGAATCAATACAATTAATATAGCAATCTAACAATTCTCATTTCACGTTTCTTCCTTTATGGAGGATATAACAGGGTTGATGCATTACGCTTATGCTTATTTGGCTCTGCGGGTCGTAATCAGCGAACTAACAAATAAACTGCATTGCGCGTATAGGAGTGAAAAAACAGAAGGTGAAGATTACTTAAGAGGAAAAGGGAAAAGTTAAAAATGAGTACAGAAAAGGAGATCATTTTGCCACCCAGACTAAACAGCTGCGTCCCAGGTTTTATGGAAAATACCTAAAATGGAGGAAGAGGGTCTCCCGCGCTTCTTTCCCTTCGGCCAAATCTTTCGAGAGAATTTTGGCTTGGCAATTTTAGGTGTATCTTATGTCATCGAGAAATTATACCCTGACAAAGATCCAATCTTTCTCCAGGATTCGAATTAGGTTCAACGATACGCTGAATACCATACTCGACATTCAGATCAGTGCCTTAAGGTATTCTTCATGAAAATTTGGATACAGCTGTACAATGAGTGGGTAGGAATATACCTTTAAAATCATTGATGAAGTTCTGGCGTCCCTCCCACTTCCTCCTGTTCTGTTGTGTACAATGCTGCCAAACTCTTGAGAGTTTACAAGCGGGAAGAGGGGATGATGTATGACTGGATGATGAACTTGATTATATTTTATGCTATTCTGTATCACGGATAACGGCTAATTACTAATTTCCTGTTTGCATTTAACTGTAGGATTGCAAATGCATTGTTTCAGAAATAACGAAGCGGACGTGGAATTTGAACATGAATGCCAAAATGTAAGATGCCTAACATTTGTTACTAACACATGTATTGTTTGTCCATGCGATTATTCTGCCCGTACATTACTGTTATAGTATGAACTTTATCTTTTAGCAATTTGAAGAGTTCTTGTACTTAAAAATAAAACTAAATAACAGAAAGTAGATTCAAAAAGTTATCAGGAATAGCTTTCAGACAGAAAAATCTTCGAAGAAAAGAATACGTTATTAATTAGCATATCTATAATAAATTTATATTACATTTTAGCAGCTAAAAAAACTTCTATCTCGTAAATTGCTCGATAACAGGAACAGCAGAGCGACAATTTGACGCTCTGATCGGAAGGAGTATGTAACACCCCTTAATACACTAGTGAATATAATTATTTTTTTTCTTAAAAGAATTCCGAGAAATTATTCAGTTATTACTAAATTTGTTTAAGAGGTAAAACGCACTTCATAATATAACTTTATAATTAGTATTTACTTAGAAATATATGCGAAATTTAAATAGGAAATTTATGATTTAATGATGCAAAAGTGAGTGGAGTTTTCCCCTAAAATTAAATGACTTTACAGCAGGTTAAAAATTTGCATTGAATAGGCTACTTGATACCTTAAAAAAGCAGTTTAAGTCTTTGAAGGTTTTTGGAAGATACTGATGCTCTTCAGTAACATATTTAAATCTGAACATTTTAATAGTTAACTTTTTGTTTTCGAGGAATCCATTCAAAAGCTTAACTTTGGATAAAAGAACATCCTTATTCATATAAAGAAAATCAAAGCTCAACGTACTTCTCGACGGCATTCTTCTGGATATCATTTAGAAGTCACTGTACTTTTCATTAATAAATGCAAGAGTTCATGTTTCCCTTCATACAATACCTCCACATACAAAGCCTCTACAATATCTATAATGACTATGTTGCATGATGTTAGGTATTGAAGATTTCGTCATTAAATATTACCTAAGTCCATTGTTACTGATTCTGTCTTTTTTGTTATCTACATCAGTTCAATCAGTTAAAACATGACTGTTTTATGACGTGAAGTTAAATAAACATAAATTATGGGTTTTTCTCGCTTAAAGACATTTCTAGCGAAGTCTACTCTGCGTGCAGTGGCAACTGGAAATTCAATAACAGGCGATTGTTGCCAAATGCCATTACAGACAAATATCGATTCACCGAAGGATATGACTTTCCGTAACTTTTATATTTCCATAAATATAAAAAGTGTATTTATTTATATATTTGAAAAAACGTACGCAAAATATCGGTGAAATAATGCATTTAAAATTAGCTTGAAAATTACATGTTTATTTAAACAGTTTCTGGCACTTATGAAGTTTGGCGGGCCTATTAAATCTAGAACTGCTAGAACTGATAGCATGTGCCGTGTGTAACAATAATTCTATAGGATATAAAGGTAAAAATTTAAAAGAATTAACCTGAAATGTAAAAATTTCAGGTTATGGTCTAACATTTTGACGTGTTTGGCATCAAATTTAAAAAAAGTTAATTAAAATAAAAAGAAAGGTTTAAAGAATTTTTTAATACAAAAATATTAAAAATATAGTTGGTAACGCCTAAAAATGTTGTAAACTTAGCATATATGATTAACTTACTAATTTAAGAATTAATCTATCAGAATTCAAGATACAAAATCTAAAATCGTATATTTTAACCGAGCTGTTAAAATAGGAGTCCCAAGAGGTTGGCGAAAAAAATTGATATGGTATATTTTTTGTTATCATAAATTGCCACCATATGAAAGTTTGAGCATTGTTTAATAAAAAAAGGCTTATTTACTCAATACGCAGCTGTGTATTCTTTCAATGTATCGCTTTCCTACGAAGCTTACATCAAATATTTACGTTGGCGTTCCATCTCATTCATTTTAAAACTCAGAATGCACAAAAATTATATCATCTGAAGAATTGTCAGATCGTTGCCACATGTTCTATTCAAATATTATAATAAATCTAAAACGATGTATAAAAAATATTAGACAAATAAAAAAGAAACATTTTTTCACAGTTGATTCTGAGCCGCTTACCTAATTGCGCATGCTCTACTCGTAAACATTCTTCTCTGTCTGAGAAAGACTGGCGACAATAATTGCTGCTAAAACGAATTCGAATTTCATTAGAGATACATTTCTCATTCAATTAATTCAGTTCTCACTTCGCGGCTAGAATACATAAAAGCTCAAAATATCTTCATTAAAACTGAAAGATATAGAAAAACATAAAACACCAAATACCGTTAAAACAATTAAAAAACAATTTTTGCAATTAAAATTAGAGTTTCTGCACAAAAACAAGAAATTCGGCCAGCAGGCAATATGGAAGATTTTTCGGTGCTGTCATGACGTGACGACCACGCATGCGCAGTTTAGCCGAACGGCCTGCAACGCCTCTCTCTCATGAGACTTACTAGAGAAGAGTAGTTAGTAGGTAGTAGCGAAGTAACGAAGGAAATGTGTTGTATGTCAGCTTAGATGCAAGAAACGAAGTTATACTTGTGTGTTGTTAATCGTTTGTACTTATTATTTTTATTTGTGTGTTAATAAAATTTTGTGCCGTTAAAATGGCTGTTTTATGCAACGCACACAATACGATACGTCTACGGTAGGAAGTAAACACATATCCAGAAGCTACATGCCCAAGAAAAGGAAGAATATGACAGTGGTGTCAGAACAGGAGGATATGTCATTCTGCAAAGTTCACGGATAAATGCGTGAGTCTTCAGAAAGGTAAGAAATTTGTTCAATTTATTGTGGTAAAGTGGAATTCAAGGTTACAAAAATGGCTGAAGATCTAACGAAATCTAAGAAAGAACGGAAAATTATTCGTTCAGCCATTACTAAAGTAACAAATGCTATTGAATCATTAATTGCAGCCGGTAACCTTGAAGACCTTGAAGAATCACTGGAAAGTTTAAAAGTAAAAGCTATTTCTTTGAGAGCGTTAGATGAAAAAATTAAAACTTTGACTGATGTTAATGACATTGAAACCGAAATCGAAAGTGCCTTGGAATACGAAGAAAAAATTTCGAAATGGAGCTTTAGAGGCACAAAATTATTGAAAGAAAAAAGAAATAGCAATAATTCGCTAGTTGCTAATGGTTCTTCTAATGATAGTAACAATTTATCTATTTCTGGTGTCGATAAAAGTTCTGATTATAATGTTAAATTGCCGAAGATTATGATTGATAAATTTTATGGAAATGCTGAAATGTGGCAGACATTTTACAATTCTTTTGACACGGCAATAAATCAAAACGTAAAACTATCTAAAGTAGATAAGTTTAATTACTTGCTTAGCCTGTTAGGCGGTGCAGCTTTAAAAACAATAGAAGGCTTTTCTTTATCTCCAGAAAACTACGACGAAGCTTTTAAAATTCTCAAGGAGAGGTATGGTCGAAAAGATCTCCTTATTAATTCTTACATGCATAAACTTTTAAATTTACGGCCTGTCCGAAGTTCTAATGACATTAATTCTTTGAGGGAATTATATGATACCTGCAACGTACAAGTAAGGTCACTAAATTCGATATGGGTCAAGACCGAATCGTATGGAAAGTTACTATACCCTTTGTTAATGAAATGCATATCTCAGGATATAACGCTTGATTTTGCTCGTCAAAACGCAGATGACGAAACTTTTAATGTCGACAACCTCATGAAATTTCTAAAACGGGAAATTGAAAGTCGCGAACGAACTTCATTAAATCTATTTTATTCTAATAGTCACGCTAATTCTCTTGGAAGGCATTCACAACCAAATGAAAAGCGAAACAACTTCCACACTCGGAATTCATTCAACGCCAACAAATTTGGCGCCAGCTATTCCCCTACTGTAAGCAAAATTGCAGTTGTTCGAACTTTCCCTTGCTTATTTTGCGAAAGCGAAAAATCATGCTTCGGAAAAATGCGTTATGTCTCCGGAAGAAAGGAAGAGTTTAAGGGCTTCTAATCGGTGCTTTCTTTGTTTCGAAAGGAATTGTAGAATAAAAA